TAAGATTTGAATATTTTTTAAAATCAATTATATATCCTAGACAGATAAACCGTCTCCACTCAGAAACGTTTTTCGTAAACAATGATATAATATCATTGGATTCAAATTTAATTCCATCCATTACAGTAACCCACTTGTAACCTACTGTACAGCAGAGCGATATCCACGACTTACCCGCTTTTTAAAATTAATTTTTACTCATTAAATTTGATTCTTCAATAAGTATGCTTGGACGAAACAACGTCTGAGCTCAGAATCGTTTCTTGTATGCAATGGTTTATCATTGAATTCAAATATAACACTTTCATTAAAATTAAATATTCGATAACTACCAATTTCCTACTGTACAGCAGAGTATCCACTGGTCCACATCATATTTTAGTTTATATACTAAAGATTCTCTGACATGATCATTAAAATTTATTGATCTCATAAATTTAATAATTGAGTTTAATAACTAATAAGTAATAAGATGTCTTTATACATTCGAGAAAGAAAGAAAAAAAAACTATAGTTYAATATATTTTTTGTAACCCCTTCCCATCATGAAAAAATCCAGGTTGCAACATTGGTGTAGGTGCAATAGGTGCATCCCGAACAAAAATGTTGTAGGATATAAACAGTATTACYTACAGGATATCATACCGAAGATTTGTTTTTCACTTATATCCCTATTTATTTTTCAGTAAACAAAATGTTGACAAGTTTCGCATTTGAGCTATATATAGGTAAGATACTAAGAACTTCTAAAAAATATGTGTGTGAACTTCGGGAACCGGTGTTTGCGTGACGATTTCTACTGTGCGCTTCCTCGTAGTTATGAGAGGGAGTATTATATTATGTGTCTAGTTAAAATTAGACACTTTGGAAGGACTTTTTTAAAAACAATCCAAAATATTGATGGAAATAATCGTGGGGTATGAGTGATAACTGATGGCGTTTCAGATAGTGAAGATACTGCTCGGTTTTCGTATGATTGGTGATACAATATCACCCCAAAWATTTTAGTATGGTTTTGGCTTTATGAGCGTTTCACATTTAAGATATATTTATATAATTATATATTTTGTTTGTGTGTTTAGGAACTTTGTATATTGTATTTGAATATTTTGAAATGGTCGTAAATTATACGTTTTTCAGTATCTTATGTAGTTATACTAGTGTAGGTCTATATATTTTAACATATTAATCAAATATTTTATGTTACAACTA